CCGTTCATCATCCATCCATCCATCATCCATCCATCATCCATCCATCCATCCATCCATCATCCATCCATCCATCCAACCTCCAGCTCTCTTCTTGATCTTCCTTCTTCTTCTTTAGATGGAGGAAACAGTTATTGATGACATCATCAGCCTGGAGTCAAGTCTAAACGAGGATCTTCTGACTCTGATCGACTCCGGCCTGCAGCTCACCACCACGGTATGCAGTCATCACACCTGCAGTCTGAGTGCAACAAAGGGGCGTGGCCACTCATCACAGGGGCGTGGCCAGGGGGCGTACCTTTTCGGAGGTTATCCAATTGATTTTTGTCACATGATGTTCTGCTTAATCAGAACCTTCTGGATCAGTCCAACTGCTCAGTGATTTGTTTTAACTCTGACCGTGTGAAGTGGGCGGGGCTTATGTCCTGTTCTGCAGCCAGCCAGTAAGAGGCAGACTGAACGCTCGGTGTTTCTTTCAGAGGACCAACAGTCTGCAGCCGCTGACTCAGTCTCACTTCAGCTTTCCACACTTCCCCCTCTCAGTGGGCGGAGCCTCACTGTGTGTGTGTGTGTGTGTGTGTGTGTGTGTGTGTGTGTGTGTGTGTGTGTGTGTGTGTGTGTGTGTGTGTGTGTCAGGGAGATAATGAAGTTGTGGGAGTTTTCTGTTCTTCTTAAAGGACGTGTTTCCCCATTTTTCAACAGTTGTCTGAACAGAAAGAGGAAGAGCTGCAGCTCACTGTGTGTGTCGTTAATGTGTGTATGTGTGTTAGGGTGTGTGTGAGAGAGCTGAGAACATGAGGATTTTGGTGTTGCTGCCGGATCATGAGAAGAGGAGGATTAAATCAGAGGTAAAAGTTGCAGTCTGTTTTGTTTTCAGAGTTTCAGATGCTGCAGGTCCAGACAGTTTTCCAGAACCTCCAGAATGTTCTCTAGGTTTTCCAGGAGGGTTTCCAGGTTTCCAGGCCATGTAAAGCTGGGTATCTGCAGCTCTCTGAGTTTTCCTGCTGATCTTGGAGGTTTTGTACTGCTTGTTTTCAAAAATGCTTCAGTCAGCAGAACCTCTGTCTGTCAGAGGTTTCCTTTAAAAACAAACTGGTTCTGGCAGGAAACGGACCAGGAGGACTCAGGTGATTGTCATCCAGCTAGAAAGTGACCAGTAAAACCAGTGGAATCAGTTAACAGGTCAGCATCCCAGTAGAACAAGTGAGGCTGAGACCTTTTGGATTGAGCCAGAACCGATAGATGGTCCTGAATGGAACCAGGAGGATCCCGTAGGTGAAACAGCTCCCCCTGGTGACAGAAACAGGAACTGGGATTAGTTTGCTAAACAGTTGATCCGATTCTCTCCAAATAGGAGCGTCGGATGTGGAACCGTTAGCTGCTTTTGGATCAAACTAGTTCTGGGACTCACTTAAAATCCAGATGGTTTCATGGACTGTAATGAAGAAAAAATGTCGACAAAATCAACATTTTTGATTCAGCTGCCATTTTTGTGGCTACATTATTGGCTACATAATATTTATAAACATCTGATCTCAACAACAGAGATAATCATTTTTAATCTTTGGATTCTTCAACCATTAGATTGGAGCAAAGGGTTTTCCAATAATTTCATCTGATCGTTGATGGAGACACTTTAGAAATGTGTACTGTGGTTGCTGATGTTAACATTAGCTGCTGCATGTTAGCATTGAGATGCTATTTTAGGCTAGCATTGCTTCATTTGGAGGCTATCTGCTCTTAGCACAAGTTGAACACAGCAACAGCTTTATCCAGCTTCCAATCAGATTATTTTGAAGCAGGAATGAACTGAGAGAAGACGTTTCATTGAGCAGATGTAGCTGTGAGTCACATTTACAATCGAACCAGAAACAAACAACTGCAAAGTTGCCACTGTGTCAAAATGAATGAGATAAAGTGGGAACCAACTGGTTGTCCAGGTGTTGGTTTACCTGCAGCAGGACGTGTTTCACATCATCCTCTGATTGGCCTGTTGCAGCTGCCGGCAGCGGGGAACATGCTGGATGTCTACGGAGGGATGTCCACGCCCACCATCACCGTTAGCAACAGCTGCCCGGCCGACCTGCATGCCGTCAAGCAGGAGCTAACAGGTAAATGTGACAATGTAACCCAGACCCGGTTCGGACCGGTCCAGTCCGGTCTGCGGTAGAGCCCTCCTATGTTCCTGCTGCTCACCTCTGACTGATCCTCCTCTCCTTCTTCTTGTTGTCGCTGTAGATGTGGAAACCAAAGCTCTGATGAAAGAGCGGCAGAAGAAGGACAACCACAACCTGAGTGAGTAGGGCTGCACCACTCAGCCAATCACAGCTCAGGACTTCCTGTTGGAATAGGAAGTCAAGACAGACTCTCATTCCACATCAGAGGAACATGTCTGGACTGATTTGATGTGAAAACCAAAACTCTTTATCCAGACTTAAACTGACCTTCATGTTTCAGTCGAGAGGAGGCGGCGCTTCAAACATCAACGACCGCATCAAGGAGCTCGGAGCACTGATCCCCAAGTCCTCTGACCCGTCAGTATTCATGCTAACCATGCTACGCTAACAGCTAATGGCACCGCTAATGGGCTTAACGAGGCATGTTGTGTGATTGGCTGTTCAGGGAAACCAGGTGGAACAAAGGCACCATCCTGAAGGCGTCGGTGGATTACATCCGCAAACTGCAGAAAGAGCAGCAGAGAGCCAGAGAGATGGAGGAGAGACAGCGCAGGCTGGAGAGCACCAACCGCTCGCTGCTGCTGCGCATTCAGGTGAGGGGGCGGAGCCTGGGGGTATTCAGGTGAGGAGATGCAGCCTGTTACTTAAGGGGCGTGTCCTGTCCTGTGTTGCTGAAGTGATTTGTGTTTTGTGACAGGAGTTGGAGCTGCAGGCTCGCGTTCACAGTGTCTCCTCTTCCTCCGTCTCTGTGGACCCCCAGACGCTTCTGTCCCCGCTGCTGCCCAACCCATCGCTGAGCTTCATGGACCTGGATGAGTCCCACCCGGCGTCCGCCGTCTTCTCCACGGACCTGGTGGCAGATTTGGGGGCGGGGCTGAGCGGCCTGGGGGCGGGGCTTCTGATGGAGGAACACGGGGGCGGGGCTGTGATGTCCGACCCGCTGCTGTCCTGCGGCGCCTCGAAGACCAGCAGCCGGCGGAGCAGTTTCAGCATGGACGAGGATCTTTGATGATGTCACCACAGGCTAGTCTCTGATTGGCTGAGGGGACCGGGTCAAAGATTTATCAAAGAAATCAATAGAACAATTTATAATCTGTGATGTCCAACATATTCAGATTATTAAACACAGACAACATAACCATGGCAATCACTTCCTGCTAACGGCTGCGAGTCATCGCTGTGTCACCATGGTGACGTTTTCCTCACAGTGTTGCCATGCAAACCTTTACGTTCACCTTAAAACGGATCAACACCAGAGCTGACTGGTGGTTAAATAACAAGCTGTCATTTCATTTGGCTGATTTCAGCAGGTCGGTGGGTTCGGCAGGTGAGGCTTCAGATTGCTACCTGATTGTACAAAGCTGTAAATTCACAGAAATCTATAATCAGTGTGCTGGAAAGATTTTATTGAGATTTTATGAACAAGAAGAGAATTTTTTCTGGTCTGGATTGTTTACTTCCTGTTTATGTCCGTGTTTCAATGTCCTGCTGGAGACAAAGTCCAGGACCTACAGAAGGGAAACCAAGGACCGGTCCTGGACCCTGTGGTTCCGGACTGGCAGATACTCTAGAGTTGACTCACTGTGATGCTTGCATCTTTTAAGAGAGCATGTATCAGTGCCAGTTTTGCTGCCAGTTTTGTTGAAGTCCTGATTGTGGGAAAGTTACCTGACCCATTTGTCAGGAGTTCTTCCTGGTTCATAGGTCAGTTAGTCTCCTGCAGACAGAGTCCGAGTCTTCTGCACTTGATCAAGTGTTATGCAAGTAGAAATTCATCTATTATGAATTTATTTTGGACTGTTTTTGCCTCTGGAGGTCTATTGTATCTGGCAGTAGATGCACTAACATGATAATGACATGCTATCATAATCTCAACATGCTAACATGATCACAACATGCTAACATGATGATAAGATGCTATCATAATCTCAACATGCTAACATGATCACAACATGCTAACATGATGATAAGATGCTATCATAATCTCAACATGCTAACATGATCACGACATGCTAACATGATGATAACATGCTAACATGACCATGCTAACATGATGATGACATGCTATCATGGTCATGATATGCTAACATCTAGCTGTATGTTGGTTTAGCTGTGCCATGATGATTTGCTTACCTTTTAATCAAGCAAAAAATAAAAATGTTTTGATATTCTGAACATTTGAGAAGTTTCCAAACTCTTAGAATTTTGTTCATGTCTTTAGCTGTTAGCTCAAAGTGCTATCTAGTGTTACACACTCAACCAAGGGAAATGGATGGAAGTTGTGACATCCTCTGCTGTTGTTCATGTTTCTGATCTCAGCCACTGAAAATGAAGCTAAATGCAATCATTTCTGCTGTTAGCTGTCGTCATCGGGATCACCTGGAATTAGTCACAAAGGGAAATCTGTTTCTCTGGTCCTTCATGCTGTTTTCATTTATGTTAATGATGTTTACATGTAGTCTGTTTATAATGTTAGCTAAGATTGTATTTTTTAAAACTATTACATTTCATACTCTGTTATCTTTCATATAGAATAAATATTCAAACAAAACCTGAATGTTTTTGTCTCCATGTACAACAGATGGGCTTTTTCTCAAAACAATTCCAGAGTCACAGATATATAATTTGTCTCTGCATCAGCATTATGAGGAAAACAGACAATACAGACTGATGTGAACCAAACAGACTTACTTTCTGCTTTCAAACTGTTATGTTTTCCATCTTTGGAGCAAATTGCTCAAATATTGTACTGATGCAATGAGAAACAGCAAAAGGTTCAACAACAGAATAAAATTCAGGAAACAAATGTTCAGAGACAGTATGAAGTCTGTTTTCAATATAAAAAATACATTTTATTTGAGAATTTAACATAAAATTACAATTCTGCCAATAATGTGCCATAAATTGAAATTCAAAAGACAGAAACATTTCAATGTAAACAGAAGAGATATTCTGAGTACAATGGAGATACTGCCATCTGTGGGATTCCATAAGTATTACACAAGTGTGACGTCAGTTCAAATAAGGCTTTATAGATATTTATTGTAGTCATTCATATCTACTCCTGAGAAAGAAGATAGAAATTAAATGGTTAACAAAAACAATTTAATTCCAACTCTATTTGACGACTTTTGAGTATTTTTAGAACTTTATTAGAAAACCACAAATTAATAACCTCTCCAAAGTCAATATATTATTAAAACACATTTTAGTGGGAGTTTAGTATGTCAACAACTATTAATTGTAAAGGTGAAAAAAACAAAAAAACAAATATACATTAACAGTAATATTTTGTTCTAGTTTCTTAGGCAACAGTTACATTCATCTGTGTTCTGTTGTTGTCCAGCAGGGGGCGCTTTAAATCTTGTTGACTGAAACTGACAAAAACTGGTGAAAGCCAGTCTTGTTTCTGGAGGTGTATGTTCTGGTTGACCTGCAGTCTGTCTCTGTCTGCATCTGAGACTCTATATGTGTTTTAGTTCATCTGATTCCAGTTCAATCAGTGGACTGAAATAAATTATTTCTCTCCTAACAAACAGAGCCAAAAACAGGAGGGAGGTTTGTCTTTGATGCTGCACTGATGTCAGAGGTCAGGAACCACTGTCTTCTCAGTGGTTTCCTGTTTCCTGTTTGAATGTCCTGGCCTTTGTTCCAACAAACACAGTGTTCCTGTTGGTACCGGCTGTGCATCCTGTCCCACCCATCCACCCCGGCCCTGCTGACCTGTCAATCTCTGACGCAGACGCGTCACTGAAAAGTTCATCGCAGCTGCAGTCAGTTTACGGCTACAAAGTGCCTGAAGAATATTCTGCAGCCAATCGTTCGCCTTAGAGTTTCTATGACGATGTAATCGGTTTTGTAAAAATAAGAGAAGCGTTTGTGATCAGTTTGTAGTTTTTGTGTAAATCTGTGATACAAGTAGAATCCTGGAGAATGTTAACATCTGAACATCAGCAAAAAAAGTTTAAAATATTTTATTTTGTCTTTTAACCTAAAAGTCTTTTCTGCTAAGACGGATGGAATAAATTTTTATGATCCTGATTATGCACCTGAAAATATCAGGTATTGCCAACCATAAACCCTTCAAGAATTAGCTTAATTAGTTTCACCCATATAAAGCCCCTAATAATCAGCTCCATCATCCAGAGCTCTGATTGGTCGAGAGGAAAAGCTCAGATAAATTACAGAATTCTTACTTCTTCTTACTTCTGTTTGCTTTCTGTCTTCTCAACCAACATCTGGTTGGAGGTCTAAATGTTTATGATTCTGATTTCTGTATAGCAGTGAATAATTACATACTAATGATGACATGCTAACATAACAACATGCTAACATGACAACATCCTAACATAACAATATGCTAACATAACAACATGCTAACATGACAACATGCTAACATAACAACATGTAAGATGACAACATGCTAACATGACAACATGCTAACATAACAACATGCTAACATGACAAAATGCTAACATAACAACATGTAACATGACAACATGCTAATATGACAACATGCTAACATGACAACATGCTAACATAACATGCTAACATGACAACATGCTAACATAACATGCTAACATGACAACATGCTAACATAACAACATGCTAAAATAACAACATTGTAAGATGACAACATGCTAACATAACAACATGCTAACATGACAACATGCTAACATAACAACATGCTAACATGACAACATTCTAACATGACAACATGCTAACATAACAACATGCTAACATGATCACATGCAAATAATACAAAATTAACGTAATCCTAATTTATGAGACATGGGTCTTTAACCATCTGACCCCAGAGTGACTTTATTTAGAAGTGCTGATAAAGAACAATGCGCTGCGACAGTCTGGCGACCTGTCCAGGTGACCCTGCAGCTGGAGAGGCAGCAGCTCCTCCATACCCCACTGGGGACCAGGTTGTTAGAAAGTGGATGATAAAAAAGTGGATGTTTAATTAAATTATCCTTTCACATTTTTCATAAATATTTGACTCTAGAGTCGGCCCCTTGCTTCTTCTTTCATGTTCAGATTGGAGAACCTTTGTGCTGATTCGGGATACGGATCGATCAGACCAACCAAGAAAATCCAAGGGTTTCTGTCCTTTGCCATGACATCATCATCCAGTCTTGCCCTGATTGGCCGCCTTATGAAGGGAAGACGATGGCGCAACAATCCAAGCAGACCTCCAGGCAGTCAGACGACGCGCAACAGTTTTCCAACATCCCACAGTCCAACACCGCCTGGCACGCCTCCTCCGTGCACGCCGCGTCGCCGGCCGCCTCCACGCAGCAGCAGCACGCCGCGCCGTCGCAGCAACTGGCTCCGCCCACGCCGCAGGCCAGACACTCCCCCAGCGCCGAGCACATGGACAGCAGCTCACAGAACAGGCAGGCCAGCAGGCAGTGGACGCAGCAGTCTGCAGGGACAATCAGGAAAACTGAACCGTGTTTGAAAACATTTCAATTGAGAAGAAAACTTCTGGAAAGATGTTTGATTAGCGCAGAGGACAATCAGACATGATCCTTCTCTTATTTCACTTCTAGTCATGACGCTTTAAGGAGGAAAAATGTTTCGCATTTGGTCTCATTTGCGGTTTTTCTTTCATGTCCTCCCAATGATTGTCTGTAAAGACGTCTGTGTCGGTTTGTCTCACCGGTGGACCAGGGGACGTGTCCCACAGCGTCCAACAGGACAGGAGACGAAAAAGGAAACATCAACATCAGGGTGTAAAAACTTTTTGCTCTGCTGGCAAATTTAAACTACCAGGGAAATGTTATAAACAAATATGCAAAACATTTCTTTTTTAAATTAAATTAATAAAAACTTAAAAAGGCCTTTGGACTGTAAATCTGACAATTTCCACATTTTTGGGTCATCAGCTGTTTCCAGTTTTAAATTTTAACCTTCTTGACTCGTGGTCTGGGGTTGAACAAAACAAGTTCAAGGGTCCACAAATGGCCCCCAAGCCACACTTTGGACACCCCTGCTGTGGGTCAAGAAATTCAGAGTGGACTTGTCTGGTTCTGGTTCTGGTTCTGTGGGTGTGACCCGGAGCTGATGGGAGGCTCAGCCGCCGTCTGGCTGCAGCTGATAAGCCTCCACTTGATCGTCTGTTTATGCTCCAGTGTCAAGCGGACGAAATGAAAACCTGCTGCCAGCGGCTTCCTCTGGCAGGTGGAAACCCTGTGAAACGCTTCAGAATGTTCTGAAGTGTTCCGAAACGCTGCGAAACATTCCAAAACGCTCCAAAACGCTCCTAAACGTTCCAAAACGCTCCAAAATGTTCCAAAACGTTCCGAAACGTTCCAAAACGTTCCGAAACGCTCCAAACCGTTCCAAAACGCTCCCAAATGTTCCAAAACGCTCCAAAACGTTCCAAAACGATCCAAAATGCTCCAAAACGTTCCGAAACGCTCCGAAACGTTCCAAAACATTCCGAAACGCTCCAAACCGTTCTGAAATGCTCCTAAACGTTCCAAAACGTTCCGAAACGCTCCGAAACGTTCCAAAACATTCCGAAACGCTCCAAACCGTTCCGAAACGCTCCTAAACGTTCCAAAATGCTCCAAAACGTTCCGAAACGCTCCGAAACGTTCCAAAACATTCCGAAACGCTCCAAACCGTTCTGAAACGCTCCTAAATGTTCAAAACGCTCCAAAACGTTCCAAAATGCTCCGAAACGTTCCAAAACGTTCCGAAACGCTCCGAAACGTTCCAAAACATTCCGAAACGCTCCAAACCGTTCCGAAACGCTCCGAAACGTTCCAAAATGCTCCGAAACATTCCAAAACGCTCCAAAACGTTCCAAAACGCTCCGAAACGTTCCGAAACGTTCCAAAACGCTCCAAAAAAACTTTCCAAAACGCTCCGAAACGTTCCAAAACGCTCTGAAACGTTCCGAAACGTTCCAAAACGCTCCAAAACTTTCCAAAACGCTCCGAAACGTTCCAAAACGCTCTGAAACGTTCCAAAACGTTCCAAAACGCTCCTAAAACTCAACTTCACATTCATCACGACATCTACAAAGAAAAACTACGTAACTATCACTTAACACTAAAACATGGAAGGGAGGCTTTCTTTGCAGATGTCATAAAGAAAAACATCAATAATGCTCAAACTTTATTTGCAACAGTTGACAGGCTCACAAACCCTCCTGTGACGTTTCCACCTGAATTCCAATCTAATGCTGCCTGGAATAAGTCTTCCAGCTTCTTTTCAGAGAAAATCCAAAAAATCAGAGGATTAATCTGCACATCAACTTCATAGCCAGAACCATTGCTGTACCAAAACAAAACAAATACAGAAAAAATGACCCATTTTCAACTACTTAATTATAAAACTCTAGAAGAAATTATAAGTCAATTAAGTTCAAGCTCCTGCTGTCTGGATGTCGTTCCCACACATTTCTTTAAGAAAGTCCTGCCTGTTATTGCTGCTGATCTGATCCAAATAGTAACTCATCACTCACATCAGGTGTTTTCCCCCAGGCCTTGAAAACAGCAGTCATCAAATCACTGTTAAAAAAGAACAACCTGGACAAATCACTACTGCAGAATTACAGGCCGACCTCTGACCTCTGACCTCCCATTCATCAGCAAAGTTACTGAAAAAACTGTGTCAACAATTAAATAGTTTCCTCATAATGACCAACTGCTTTGACTCTTTCCAGTCTGGTTTTCGTGCTCACCACAGCACGGAGACTGGCCTAGTCAAAGTATTCAATGATATCCATATAAATATGGACAGTGGGAGAACCACAGTGCTGGTTCTGGTTCTGGTTCTGTTGGACCTCAGTGCAGCTTTTGACATATTACTGAATGGACTGGAGAGTTGGGTCGGACTCTCCGGTTCGGTGCTCGACTGGTTTGAATCCTACATAAAGAACAGGGATTTCTTTGTTTCAATTGGAAACTTCTCATCAAAGAGGTCAAAGGTCACATGTGGGGTACCCCAAGGTTCAATCTTAGGACCCCGCTTATTCAATATTTATATTCTCCCACTAGCTCAGGTTATAACAGGAAATAATATTAGATACCATAACTATGACACACAGCTCTACATTATGATGTCACCAGGTGACCTTTGACCCCATCCAATCACTGAATAAATGTTTAGAACAGATAAATATGTGGATGTGCCAAAACTTTCTCCAGCTGAACAGAAACAAAACTGAAGTCATTATTTAGGACCTAAAGAGGAATGATCTAGAGCTATAGATCTAGATCTGTAGATCTAGAGCTATAACTCTAGCTCTAGAGCTATAACTCTAGCTCTAGAGCTATAGATCTAGAGCTACAGATCTAGAGAGCTATAGCGCCATAGATCTAGAGTTATAGATCTAGAGTTATAGATCTAGAGCTATAGATCTAGAGTTATAGATCTAGAGCTATAGATCTAGAGTTATAGATCTAGAGCTATAGATCTAGAGTTATAGATCTAGAGCTATAGATCTAGAGTCAATGCACAGCTTCAGTTATTACAACTAAAAACTAGTGATCCTGGGAGTAGTGATGACCTCTGACCTGAACCTTGCGAGCCACATAAAGACAATTACAAAGTCGGCCTTCTATCACCTGAAGAACATCTCCAGGATTAGAGGACTAATGTCTCAGCCAGATCTAGAGAAACTCATCCATGCGTTATCTTTAGTCTCATTGATTATTGTAACAGCATCTTCACAGGCCTGTCCAACAAATCAATCAAACAGCTGCAGCTGATCCAGAAGCTGCTGCTCCTGTTCTCACTAGAACCAGGAAGATAGAGACATAACAGCAGTTTTAAAGTCCCTCCACTGGCTCCCTGTAGCTCAAAGAATAGACTTTAAAATACTGTTGTTAGTTTATAAATCACTGAACGGTTTAGCACCACAATACATCAAAGATCTGCTGTTGTTGTATCAACCCTTCCAGACTCTCAGGTTCTGGTTCTGGTTCTGCTCTGCATCCCCAGAACCAGAACCAAGAGAGGAGAAGCAGCTTTCAGCATCTATGCACCAAAACTTTGGAACAAACTTCCAGAAAACTGTAAAACAGCGGAAACCCTGACTTCCTTTAAATCTCAAGTAAAAACCAGCTGATTAGAGTTTTATTTGAAATGTAATATGTATGGATTTGATTTTGTGGTATGTATGTAATTTTTTTTTTTTTCCTGTTGTGGGCAACGGGGCCCGGCGAATACCCGTGGTTAAACGGACGGCAGAGTCCGGCGGTAACAGGCGCTTAAATTCCGTGTCAAAGGGAAGGGGGAAGAAAGGGAAAAAAGAGGGAGGAAAAAAAACACACAAAAAAAACCTTGGTATTTTATTCTATGTTGCATGCCTTTGTGTTTTGTGTTTATGATGTAAAGCACTTTGAAATGCCTTGTAGCTGAAATGTGCTATACAAATAAAATTTGATTGATTGATTGATTGATAAACGTTCCAAAACGTTCCGAAATGCTCCGAAACGTTCCGAAACGCTCCGAAACGTTCCAAATGTTCCGAAACGTTCCAAAACGTTCCAAAATGTTCCGAAACGTTCCGAAACGTTCCGAAACGTTCCAAAACGTTCCAAAATGTTCCAAAACGTTCCAAAACGTTCCAAAATGTTCCAAAACGTTCCGAAACGTTCCAAAACGTTCCGAAACGTTCCAAACGTTCCGAAACGTTCCGAAACACTCCAAAACGTTCCAAAACGTTCCAAAATGTTCCGAAACGCTGCGAAACGCTATTGGAACGCTCCAGATTACTGTTTAGCTGACCCTGCTGTAGTGTGGTTGGAGAGCACCAATGTTCAGGATCTCACTGAGCTTTTGTCCTTCCACTCAACTTTCTGCTCAACTCTCCATGATGAGCTTCAACCTCTGATTGGTCGGTGGTCATGATGTCACCTATTTGGACCAGAACCAGGCTCTGCCACCTCAGCTCATAAGCTTCATTCTGATTGGCTCACCATTTCCAGCCACTTCCTTGATGTGGGCGGCGTCCGACTTCAAGGAGGCGTGGCTCTTGGTCGCCAACAGGCACGTCTCATTGGTGCCTGGGCTGCCGGTGGGGGGCAGGGCACAGCCAATGGGAGGCTCCGATGAGCTGACCACACCTGGGACAGAACAGATGACCTCACATGACCTCACAGGTGACCTTCAGCCTCAGAGAGGGGGCGGAGCTGCTCACCTTTCTGTCTGTAGGGGGCGGGGAGAAGGCGAGAGACGTCCTTGGTGGAGAAGCTGTCGGTCAAAGATTCATCGCTGCTGTCAGCTTCCTGCAGCCTATGAGAGGTGGGGAGCGGAGCCCGACCTGTGCGGAAACAGGAAGCGTCATTCAGTCAGAGATCAGGAAGGAGCCGCTCCAGTGAAACATTGATCCAGTGAAACTTGGATCCAGTGAAACATGGATCCAGTTCTACGCTTCGCTACGTTCTCCATGTTCTCTCCAAGTTTCTGCCTCTTACCAAGTAGAATTAATTTTGATAATTCTAACTAAGATAAAACAAGAAAAGTTTGGTTTGATTTCACTTCAGACAGTGAGAAATAAATTGTTTGTTTTCTTATTAGTTGTATCTAAGTATATGACCTCTCAGGTCTTCTGGTTCTGGTTCTGCTCTGCATCCCCAGAACCAGAACCAAGAGAGGAGAAGCAGCTTTCAGCATCTATGCACCAAAACTTTGGAACAATCTTCCAGACAACTGTAAAACAGCAGAAACCCTGACTTCCTTCAAATCGCAACTAAAAACCAGCTGATTAGAGTTTCATTTGAAATGTAATATGCAACAATGTGTTGTCTATTATATGTTACATGAGTTTGTATTCTTGTGTTTATGATGTAAAGCACTTTGAAATGCCTTGCTGAAATGGCTATACAAATAAAATTTGATTGATTGATGATTGATTACATAATAATGTATGAAGCTAAGCGTTGTGTAAAAACTTTCCATCTCAGGCAGAAACAAAATGTGTTTCCAGGCAAATAAAAGCATTTTATGGTAAAATCCAGTGATTGTGTTGCCTTTTTGTTATAAGAATTTACGGGATTCTGGCCCTTTAAACCTCCTGTTGCTGCGGCTGCAGCTGTTCCATATCAAGACCGAATGGCTTCGTTACTTCCTCCACCTCCAAAGTACAAGCAGGGGCAAACTCAACATGGTTATTCACAATGCCTCCTGTTGGTCTCTGATTAGCTGGTTGAAATTCAAACAGAGGAATTTCAGTCAACGGGAGAAATCCCAGACAACGCTCTGACGGGAAATGAGAATCAACCTGGTTTGACCCAGTTGTGTTTTCTTAGTTCTGATCTGGTCTGACCTCAGACCTCATCCTGGTTTCCACTTTCAACCAATCAGGTTGTGTTCAGTTCTCTTACCTGTGCAGTGATGCAGAAGCCTCCCATTGGTCACTGGCTGCTGTGAGACGCATTCTGATTGGTTGGGTTTCTTGGAAGCTCCGCCCTCGGTGCTGCCAGAGACGCTGTGGAGAGACGACCCATCCATCCTGTCAGAAACAAAACACACCTTGATTAGTATATTTATTATTATTATTCAATAATAATTATTATTATGTCTTTTCTAAAACAAATCTTTTCTAAAACAAATATTTCAGAAATATGTGGTTCCTATTGCTGGCAGTAAGTCGGAATCATTTCCAGTCACAGTTGCACCGGTTGCTCAGAGTTGCCCCGGTTGCTCAGAGTTGCACTGGTTGCTCAGAGTTGCCCCGGTTGCTCAGAGTTGCACTGGTTGCTCAGAGTTGCACTGGTTGCTCAGAGTTGCACTGGTTGCTCAGAGTTGCACTGATTGCTCAGAGTTGCACTGGTTGCTCAGAGTTGCACTGGTTGCTCAGACTTGCACTGATTGCTCAGAGTTGCACTGATTGCTCAGAGTTGCACTGATTGCTCAGAGTTGCACTGGTTGCTCAGAGTTGCACTGGTTGCTCAGAGTTGCACTGGTTGCTCAGAGTTGCACTGGTTGCTCAGAGTTGCCCCGGTTGCTCAGAGTTGCACTGGTTGCTCAGAGTTGCCCCGGTTGCTCAGAGTTGCACTGGTTGCTCAGAGTTGCCCCGGTTGCTCAGAGTTGCACTGATTGCTCAGAGTTGCCCGGTTGCTCAGAGTTGCACCGATTGCTCAGAGTTGCCCCGGTTGCTCAGAGTTGCACTGGTTGCTCAGAGTTGCCCGCTGTCTCAGATTCTGCTCACAGCGTTGGATGGTCTGCAGACCAACCGATCTGTTCTGTGACCTCAGGTCTCTTTGCGGGTGCTTTGTCCTGCTGGGCCCATCGGGTCGTGATCTACGGAGTTACCGGGTCGAGGGTCAGAGTCTCCACAGGGCAGAGGTCGTTCTGCGGGTTGGCTTCTGGGTTCATGAATGAGGGAAAACGAGCAGGACATCGGCAGGCAGATCGGAGCTGCGCCTGTAGCGCCCGCGGCGCTGGCCCGGTCCGTCCTCGTGGAGATATACTGGTCGATCTAGTGGATCTGACCTTTGGGTCACAACCGACCCAAAGGTCGACTGCAGTGAGTTTCCTCTGACTAGAGTCTCCTGAGAGAAGCTCAGGCTTCATGGTGAGCGACCCTGCTGAGCAACCAGGACCTGCAGGGAGTCTGGGCTGCTGACCCCGTGACCCAGTAACCCCATGACCCCGTAACCCCGTGACCCCGCCAGGGATTCGAGGTAGGAGGGTATTTCAGAAAAGTAACAAACCGTAAACTGATCTGGTGGTAAAGTTACACAGTGAAGCTGAAGCAGTAATTTGGTTTATTGACTCGTTATGAGCTTCAAACTGATTTTAGAAACCAAATAAACTTTTATCTACAAATATTTAGAAGCTAATGTTCAGTTAGCAAGGTAAATATTTTTCATTAAAGTAAATATAGGCGATATTGATTTGAGTTGCTAATAAATATTTCTGGCTTCACGCTGAACGTTCATTTTATGACTAACGGATCCCAGAAAGGACCCGAATCGTTTCTCTGAATGTTTCACTTCATCGGATGAATCCGGTCCGGATCTCAGCCCGGTTCTGTTGGGTTCGCTCAGGCTCTTCTGAGAACGAAACAAACACCGCGCGGTTCCGGACCGGTTCTGGTTCCGGACCGGGCCAGCAGAACTTTCTGCCTTCAGCAGGAAAACAACCGGAAGTTCCAAAGTCACGATTCAGAAAAACTTAAGAATCCAGAAAACTGAGACTCACCTGAGAGACGCTGCGGGTCCGAGAGACGCTGTGGGTCTGAGAGACGCTGCGAGTCCGCGCTGCCTGACACACACACACACACACACACACACACACACACACACACACACACACACACACACACACACACACCACACACACACACACAGAAACGCAGGGTTCTGGCTCAGTTAAAACGTTCAGCTGCCTCTCAATGATAATAATAATAATAATTTATTTCACAGATTTCATTCAGAAGGTGAAACTGTGATAAATGAAACTCAGCAATTGATTTTCAGATTCTGGGTCAGAGCATTGAACATGACACAATAAACCAACAGAAAATATTCTGGATCAACACAGAGAATGAAAGGTCAAATGTCAGGAAATTAAAACATCACACCAATAAAAGAGATTGTGTTTTGAAGCCACATTCACTCAGCAGACTCCATCACTGGACAGAGCAGCTGTGTGGAGGTCAAGGTTCAGGAAGGAGGGTGCTTTATCTGAGCAGGCGGAAAGTTAGGTGAAGAAAGAAGTGTGAAAAGTGCAGCAGGAACAGAGGAGGCCATAACAGCTTCAGGACTGAAATATTTTTATTCTGCTGAGTTTTGGTTCTGCGGGCCTAAGTCTTCTGAGCGTCACTCAGAGCTGTCCAGGGGCTTCCAGCTCTTCTTCTGCTGCTCCAGATGTTTCTCGGTTGGATCCGGTAAAAGCCAGAGTTCTGTTTCAGAAGTTCCTCAGCCTCTGCTGCCCCCTGCTGGACACACTGAGAACTGCAGCTGGTTGGTCCCGGTTACGATCATAATTATAATAATAATAATAATAATAATAATAATTATTATTATTATTATTATTATTATTGTAAATATATTAATTATCATTTATATTGTTAATACTGTGAAGACACTTGGATGGTGATGATAAATATTTACTAATATTATTATCATTATTAATTATTATTATTAGTGTTATTATTATTTATTATTATTATTATTATTGTAAATATATTAATTATCATTTATATTGTTAATACTGTGAAGACACTTGGATGGTGATGATAAATATTTACTAATATTATTATCATTATTAATTATTATTATTAGTGTTATTATTATTATTATTATTATTATTATTCTGCTGTTACTGTACCTCCGCAGTGACGAGCTCCACCGCCAGGGGGCGCCTTGGCCGCCCTTCTTTGTGCTCCCTGCAGAGGAAGAGGAGGATGAAGATGCGGTGAAAACAAAGAGAACCCTGCAGGTTCGCTGTGGTTCGGAACCGGCGGATCAGAACACGTTGCAGCTGGAGCGGAGCAGCTGGACCGCCGAACCTTCTCATGGTAAGTCCCTGGACTGACCCGGACATATCCAGCCGAACCGAACCGAGCTGCAGTCAGAGAAATGAACCGAGCCTGGCTGGAGCAGACTCGGTTCTGGTTCTGAGGCAGATCTGGACCTGAATGGGTACCGTGACCTAACCAGCAGAACCAGACAGAATCAGAACTCGAATGTTGAGAGCTGGATATGCTTACGGCTTTAGAACCTTCAGAACCCTATGGTTCCGGTTCTGGAGCCCCCCCCTCGGGCTTTTATTTTGAAGGTTTTGCTGTGTTTCAGTCTGAGGAGGCAGCAGGAGCCGAACCGGGTCCGGAGGAGGAGGAGCGGGGCTCGGAGGTAGCCATGGAAACGCCCAGCGCTCCAGTTTACTGCGTGTGTCGGAAACCAGATATCAACTGCTTCATGATGTGAGAACCGGAACCACCAGCTGCAGGTCCAACTGGACCGATCAGAACCCTGAGAAAGTATTCAGCCCCCTGCAGGTCCCTGATCCGGTTAAACAGGACGGGTTCCCTGTGGGACCGGCACCAGAGGAGTCTGTAGAACTCCACTGTCCCAGAACCAGAGGATCAGAACCTTTCTGGACCAGGAAAGGTTTCTGGACCAGGAGGAACTTGTAGATCAATGACAAGAAAAAACTTTATTCTAATCAAAATAATATTACAGTAATAAGAAATGTTCTCCAACCGGGTCCAGAACCTCCAGTAGAGGTTCGGAACTGGTTCTGGACCTCTACTGGAGCTCCCTCCAGAACCAGTAGTCAAATCCAGTCCTTTTGGTGAGGTGTGAACGCTAATCGACCTCTGACCTCTGGTCCTCCAAACCTCAGTCTGGGCTCAGTTTGTATGTGAACACCAAGTGGATCGGAGACCGCTCCAAAAGCAGGAAGTGGACTACAGTGCAGGGCATTCTGGGTAAATACAGCCAAAGCTAACATGCTAGCCTAGCGCTAGCAGCAGAATGGATCCTGGTCTTCAGAGAAATCAGAAACTCTTTCCGTCTCTGGATTTCCCTAAAATTTCTGGTCTTCATCACCGAGTCCAGGGTGTGAATACTTTTTGGTGGTTCTGAAAGTCTTCTACTGGTACTGCTCACATTGTTCTGGTTCTGATGGATCACAGAATCAAACAGGTCTGAACACAAATGTTTATCTCAGTTGTGCACAACCACGAAGTTAAGATGGTTCTGGTTGTCCCATGTGTGTGTGTGTCTGTGTGTGTGTGTGTGTGTGTGTGTGTCTGTGTGTGTGTCTGTGTGTGTGTCTGTGTGTGTGTGTCTGTGTGTGTGTGTCTGTGTGTGTGTGTGTGTGTGTGTGTGTGTCTGTGTGTGTGTGTGTGTGTGTGTCTGTGTGTGTGTGTGTGTGTGTGTGTGTCTGTGTCTGTGTCTGTGTGTGTGTGTGTGTCTGTGTCTGTGTCTGTGTGTGTGTCTGTGTGTGTGTGTGTGTCTGTGTGTGTGTGTGTGTGTGTGTCTGTGTGTGTGTGTGTGTGTCTGTGTGGGGGTGTGTGTGTGTGTGTGTGTGTGTGTGTGTGTCTGTGTGTGTGTGTGTGTGTGTCTGTGTGTGTGTGTGTGTGTGTGTGTCTGTGTCTGTGTCTGTGTGTGTGTCTGTGTGTGTGTGTGTCTGTGTGTGTGTGTGTGTGTGTGTGTCTGTGTGTGTGTGTGTGTCTGTGTGGGGGTGTGTGTGTGTGTGTGTGTGTGTGTGTGTGTGTGTGCCTCAGAGGCTGTGACAGCTGCACGGAGTGGTTCCATGGTCAGTGCGTCGGCGTGTCGGAAAAAGCAGCCAAAGCCATCCGAGTTTGGTTCTGCCCGGCCTGCAGAGGTCAGTGTGGCGCAGCGCTGCCCCCTGCTGGCAGGAGCAGCACTTACAGCTGAGCGCCGTGTGTTTGCAGACAGAGACTCGTCTCTGGAGATCAAATACCGCCAGAAAAGGAGCAAGGAGGCGGAGCCTGAGAGGGATGACAGAACGGATGGAGAGCGAAGCTCCGCCCTCCAGGCCAGGATCGACCGGCGGCGGGGTTCTCAGGTAGGCCCCCGCTGCTCTCTGGCTCCCCCTGGTGTTGTAGCCTCACCGTCGCCGCTGTCGCCCACAGATCAAGCGTTCGGCCCGGATGTGTGGCGAATGTGACGCCTGCCTGAGGACGGAGGACTGCGCTCAGTGCGACTTCTGCAAAGACATGAAGAAGTTCGGCGGTCCGAACAAGATCCGGCAGAAATGCCGCCTCCGGCAGTGCGAGGTCCGAGCTCGGGTACGTGGTTCGCATGGAAACCAGAGCTCTGCCTCCCAGATCTTCATGTTGTCCCCCTTAGTTCAACAACCAATCACAGCGTGACGTGTCAGCGTGGGCGGAGCCACGTCCTCGCTCAACATGATGCTGTGATGATTTTTGTCGTTGAGCAGAAGATGCTTCGAGTTCGAGACGAGGAGATGAGTCGGAGTGGCAGCAGGGGGCGGGGCCTGTCCACAAAGGGGCGGGGCATCTTTCAGAAGATGAGGAAGAAGAGGATGAAGTTGAGGAAGGTTTCAGTGAGAGCGAGCTGGAGCTCTACCATCAGTACCAAGCAGCTGGATACAGAGACCTGGTGAGTGACCAATCAGACGTCAGGGATTCACCTACTGACCAATCAGACGTCAGGCAGCGACTTTCTGTTCCATGATGCTTCTTCCTGTTGCAGGTGTGGCACAGCGAGGAGGAAGATGATGCTCAGTCAGACTCTCTGAGGAAGAAGGCGGTGAAGGTGAAACACGTGAAGAGGCGAGACAAGAAACCGGAGAAAAAGGTGCAGCTGTTTGATCACATGATTCATTATGTCAGCAATGATGTCACTAATGCGGCTGTGCACCTGCAGAAATCCGTTTCTGTTCCAAAAGAGGAGGTGAAACCTCGGCGCCACAAGGTGAAGCAGCGCCACAGGGAGCGCGTGCGGCACAGTGAGAGCGCAGGCGAGGGCGGGGCTAAAGAGGCGGGCGGGGCTTTGAGGCAGTGTCTGGGACCGGGCTGCGTCGAACCGGCAAGAAGTGGATCCAAGTACTGCTCAGAGGACTGCGGCATGAAACTGGCGGCCAAGTGAGTGAGAGCCGAGCGCGAGCGCCGGCGCCCTGATGTGCAGCTGAGTCTGTCTGTGATCGGCAGCCGGATCTATGAGATCCTCCCCAGAGGATCCAGCAGTGGCAGCAGAGTCCCTGCGTCGCCGAGGAGATGGGGCGGAGACAGCTGGAGCGAATCAGGAAGGAGCAGCAGGCCGCCAGGCTCCGCCTCACCCTGATGGAGAAACGTTTCCATGAACTGGAAACCATCATCGCCAACGCCAAGCAGCAGCAGGTCCAGCAAGACGAGGAGGTGAGATACACCAGGGTGTCCTCCCGACCCGACCCGACCCGACTCGACTCGACCCGACTCGACTCAACCCGACCCGGCTCTGATTGGCCCGACCCGACCCGACTCAACCCGACCCGACCCGACCCGACTCGACTCGACCCGACTCGACTCGACTCGACCCGGCTCTGATTGGCCCGACCCGACCCGACTCAACCCGACCCGACCCGACCCGACTCGACTCAACCCGACCCGGCTCTGATTGGCCCGACCCGACTCAACCCGACCCGACCCGACCCGACCCGACTCGACTCGACTCGACCCGGCTCTGATTGGCCCGACCCGACCCGACTCAACCCGACCCGACCCGACCCGACTCGACTCGACCCGACCCGACTCAACTCAACCCGACCCGACTCAACT